ATACTGCTTTCTCCCATCCCCTCTCTTCTCTCTCCTCTGATCACTTCTCAACCTATCCTGTGAAACCCAGAAAAGGCTATCCAGAAGAAATTAATCATGTAGAATACAGTTACGGGAATATTGCCAATACTGTAATATTATGTAAGGTATATACATATCTAATCACTATGCTGTACACCTGAAACTAACATAACATTGTGTGTCAACTCTAAAGACTAAAGTTTTTTTTTAAATCCATCATGCTTCATGTTGTTTTCTCCAATCATGACCAGAAGTTTAAGCCTTAAGCCCCACTGGTCATCAATGATCATGTACTCTCACTGCCATAATGCTCTAGGTATCTCCTTAGCTGAACTTGACACCATGCCTTCTCTCCTTCCCAAAAGTTACCAGTAGACCCTCCTTGTCCTTAACTACTTAAACCTTAACCTTGCTTGTTGACACCAAGATTGCCGAAACCCTTTCAAGAAACAACTATTTTCTTTCATACCTCACCTACTACAGGGCAGTCTTCCTCTCCATTCCAAACTCGATATTATTAGTTCCGAAGGACGGCCAGCCTAATTAGCATATTACACTTTTATTATTATAGGGAAGATGCAACAGGTATCTCATCCCTATGACATGTAGCATTGTGGGTAGGTCAGGGGAAGTGCTAAGCAACAAAATAGCCAAAATCTTGAGCTTATATTCACATGGAGAAGAGGAAAATAAACAAGCAAGTAGGAAGATAAAGTAGGAAGTCATACTGAGAATTTTGTGTGGGGCAGAGTACTCACTTCAAATGGAGTGATCAGTGGCATTTTTAAGTGGGGGTATGAAGGGTAAGACGGAGCCAGTCAAGCAAAGAGTGAGATGGTGAAGAACATTTCAGACCAAGGATGCAATGAGGCTTTCTTTGCCTCCTCCATAATCTACTCTGTGCTCACACCCTGGATCTTGTCACCAGCAGAACCTGAACACATCTCATATCACCAATTGAAACTTGCCATACCTTCTGACAACTCAGCTTTTCTTAGAGGTCACTTGTTCACCTCATCCGGAAGTCTCATCCTTTGACCTACGTTCTCCATTAAGACTCTTTTTACCATCTTCGTTTAACTATCCAATTTACAATTCCCCTCTTACACATACAGTCAATCCCTTGACTACCCTGCCTTCCTTCAGGCTAGCCTGGCAAAATCCCAATCATTCTGCCTTTTCTGAGACTTTATCTGTGCCAGTGAGAAATGCTAGACACAACCCCGCACAGATTGGGAACACTGTAAATTCATGATCACTAATTTCATATGAACTTCTACACTGCCCAGTAGTGCTCAATAATGACTATTTGGTATCTTCTACATTCTCTTCAACATTTTTACCTTACTCTAGACCAGCCGTGGGCAAACTATGGCCCACGGGCCGGATCCAGTCCGTTTGAAATGAAAACTAAAAAAAAAAAAAAAAGACCGTACCCTTTTATGTAATGATGTTTACTTTGAATTTATATTAGTTCACACAAACACTCCATCCATGCTTTTGTTCCGGCCCTCCGGTCCAGTTTAAGAACCCATTGTGGCCCTTGAGTCAAAAATTTTGCCCACCCCTGCTCTAGACCCTACCTTTCATGATACCCTAGGCTTTCCCGCCTATCTTTCTGATTATTCCTTCTTAGATTTTGTTGTTATTCCCTCTTCTGATCTAAAGGTTGGAGATCTTCTGGACTCAGATATGGGCCATTTGCCCTCATTGCGCTATGTTCTTCCCAGGTGACTATCTATTCCCGTGACTTTAAATACCATCTTTGTGCTAATAACTCCCAAATCTTTCTTTCCCAGACCATCTCTTTACTTTCAAGATCACCATTTTTGATTAAAACCACCATCATCTCCTGCTGATATTACTATAATAGCTCTTAATTTCTCTGCTAATAGTTCAGTCTCCCCATGGTAGCCACAGTGATCTGATGTATAAATCAGATCATGTTATTCCCTTACTTAAAACTTTCAATGGCTTCCCACAACTCTCAGAAAAAAATCCTAAAAAATGGCCTCTTAGTTTCCTGAGGCTTCCATAATACATTACCAAAAATTTGGAGGCTTAAAACAACAGAAATTTATTCTTTCACAGTTCTAGAGACTGGAAGTCTAAAATCAAGGTGCTGGCAGTACCACACTCCCTCTAAAGCAGGGGTGGGAACGTCCAGCCCATGGGCCTCATAAGATGTGCGAAAACATTTGGTCTGGCCCTGCCAACGCATTAGAGGCGAGTTAATTAAATGTTTAACCAAATATAGCAGGCTAATTTTTTAAGTTGATAATTTTGTATGGCCTACAAATGATGTTATAAATATCCAAATGGCCCTTGGCAGAAAAAAGGTTCCCCACCCTGCTCTAAAGACTAGAGATTCCTTGCCTCCTCCAGCTTCTGGTGCCTTCGGGATCTCCCTGGCTTGTGGCTCAATCATTCCAATTCTCTATCTCTGGCTTCATGTGGCTTTCTCTTATCTCCTTCGTTTGTGTCTTATAAGAACACTAATCATTGGACTTAGGGCCCATCCAGGTCATTCTAGATTATTTCTTCTCAAGATCCTTAACTTAATTGCATTTGCAAAGACCTTTATTTACAAATACTGTCACATTTACAGGTTCCGGGGATTAGGAAATGGGCATATCTTTTGGAGGGCCATCATTTAACCCACTATAACCTCCTAGCCTCCAAGGCCTTACCCAAGCTGCCTCTGCCTCCCCCAGCAACTTCATCTCCCAAAGCTCTCTTTCTTGGTGCACGGCTTTACTCATGCTGGCTGCCTTTTAGTTCCTTGATTGAGGACAAGCTCTTTCCCATCCTTCTGCTAAATGCTATTCCATACCATGCTTTCTAGTCTGCCTGGCTAACGCCTCCTTCAGGTCTTGACTTAAATCTAACTCCCACAGAGAAGTGTTTTTTGACCCGTACACTTAAGTATGTTGTCACAGTTATCCCTCAAAGCATTTTGTTCCTTTTCTTCGCAGCATTCAATTAATTTTCCTGTTTCCAAGTTGAACCTGCATATAATTTGTGTGTTTGCTTGTTATTCTTTGTCTCTTATCACTGGGCTGTGAGTTCTTCATACCACTTCTGGCACACCTGCTTTGTCAACTTCCTCTCCTATACCCAGCGTGGGCCAGCACCTGGCACGGTGGCAATGACTAAATAAAGGAGTACTGAGTGAAAACAGGACCTCCCATTCCCCTTTGAACAGGATTAGATAAGGACAAATAAATGGGTTAGAAGGATCACCAGACAGCTGAGGACATGAGGCCTGCAGCAGATCTCTCTCCCAGGCCAGCCTGATAGAATGGCCAAGCTGGGTAAAAAGGAAAAGTAGTACCCGATTACTAGCAAGTTCCTTCTCTACTCTTCAATTCTGCCAGGAACAGACTGTATACCTCGGGAGCTCATTCACCTTTTATAATAATCTCTACCTACTATTCTAAAGGATTAATTGAGGTTTTTCTGAATTTTAGGGAAAACTCCAATAACAACTGATTTCCTACTGCAGCCTAATACTTAACTGGGAGATTCACATTATACATAAGGTTCTCAATTCTACTAAATCGCAAAATGATTCAAGTATTAATAATAAATACTGCTGGCCTGTTTTAAAATCTAGTGTGCAGAGGGACACAGAAAAGAGAAATATTTTCTAGGACACATGAAATTCTCCCACCTCTTTTTTACCCTGAAGTTTACTTTGTAAATTGAGATATAATTTACATACTGTAAATTCCCCCCCTTTTAAAGTGTACAATTCAGTGTTTTGCCCAGAGTTGTACCACCACTGTCACTATCTAATTCCAGAACATTCTCATCACCACCACTTTCCGACCCCCACCCCCAAAAAAACAAAACAAAACGCAAAAGACCATGCTCATTAGCAATCATTTGCTATTTCTCCCTTCCCCAGTCTCTGGCAACCACTAATGTATCATCTCTATAGATTTTCCCATTTGTTTTTCATATTTATGAAACAAATATAGAGGCATGAAATGATTTGCACAGGGTTGTAGCCACCTCATAAGAAAGCAAGATTATAACACACATATTTATAGCAACTTTTTAAACAGTATAAAATACAAGAGATCAGTGAAAATCTGTTTAGCTCCACTATACATATCTTCAATGTGGCTATAAGACACCTGATGCATAAAGCTCAATTCTTAGGCTAGTAGTTCTCAGCAGTGTCAGGCTGGGTGGAGGCAGGAGGGCAGGGTGTTAGGCAGGGATCACTAAAGAAGAGATGCTACTGTTGGACAGGAATTGCCCATAGGAACAGGATGATGAGAGAGAGAAGGTTGAGAAAGTGTGACATAATGGGGTTTATAAGGACTTTTTAATTTTTTTTTTTAGCCCAAGGCTGTGAAATTAGTGCTAATGTACACAGGTGCCCACTTGCTTTCTTTTATACTGCCCTCAGTGGGTCCCAGAGATCCCTAATTATTCCCAGTATGTTTGAGTAGTTAATGCATAAATAGTGCTACCACCATTTCAGAATACTTGCTGGCTTATGACACTTTGCAAAATAATATAGAAAACTTGACTTTTTTATAGTCTACTGTCTGCATTCCCAATTAAGTTAAAGAATTACAAGCTTAACTTACTTCTGCACCACCAACAAATGTGTATACAGGTACAGTAATCCCATAGACTAAAATAATAATCAAAATCCATTTGCAAAAATAATTAGGCACACATTTTATTTTGTCTTAATCAATATTGCAAATACATTAACAAAGGGGGAAAAAAGAATGGAAACTGCTCATCACACAGAAAAAAATTCATCACTCAAAACAGATTAATCTGAACTTCAACATTCTTTTTTTAAAAATATACTTTTATTGATTTCAGAGAGGAAGGGAGAAGGAGAGATAGAAACATAAATGATAGAGAATCATTGATCAGCTGCCTCCTACATGCACCCCACTGGGGACTGAGCCGAAATCTGGGTCTGTGCCCTTACTGGGAAGTGAACCGGGACCTCCTGGTTCATAGGTCGACGCTCAACCATGCCTGGCTGAATCTCAACATTCTTTGTGCTCATTTAAAAATATTCTTAAAATAGGAACTCAAAAAGACAAACAACTGAGAACTGTTCTATCAATTCAAATTGAGATCCTAAATCAACTATGACTACACAACTTAAAAATAACCTTGTCTTCAATTTACAAATGCTTGATTTGCCAACATGTAATGAATACAAATTTTCTTTTATTAACAAGTTACTTTGAGTTATAGAGATCCTGCATATGACTAGCTTCTCTTTTTTTTTTTTAATGACTTATAAAATTGCCTAGATAGATGGTCTAACTATTCAGAGACTCATATACTAAATGACATAGTGACTGGCCATTTAAAGTTGAAACCTGTTTAGCAAATATTTTACTAACATTATTAAGCATGTAAATTAACTTAAAAGGTCAACTCTTAATTGCCCCCAACAAATGAGAGCTTTGGTACCAATAAATTAGAAGTAGGGCATCCAAATATGTTTTGTTTGCAGTTTTATAGTGTTTTTTTTTTAATTAAATTGGAAATGCCTATGCATGAAAAGTGAAAGTCTCATTCTTCAGTTATGTACAGGATTGTAAGGAATGAACAACCTAACTCTTCCAAATAAATTACTGATGTAAATAAAGCACTAGCCTAAAATTTCTTCCAAAAGCCCTGAAATTTAGACCAAAAGTAAATAAAGAATTAAGCTCTAGTCTACTTTTCAATGCTCCCTTTCCCTCTTACATGAGCAGCAAGATACTAGAATAAAAATAATTCCAGTATGTACTTCCAGAATATATCCATTTCAGTTCTCCCATTTGATAGGGGGCTAAGAATAATAATAAAAATAAATTAAAAAAGAAAAGCTAACTTAATAATTAAAAAAAGGCAGACTGAGCATGGGGAGAGGGTGGGTTTAGGAGAATATCTGTTGTCAGTCAACCCTTTTGTAAAATTCAGAGCACTATGATAAGTCCTCTTTAAGTTATACCCAGGGCCATGCACAATTGCACATGGGATCTGGGCAATTCTTTGATAAACTTTAAGGTTGCCAGATAACTTACAGAACGTTAATAACACATTTTCATTTTAAGAAGCAAAATAAAAATAAAAAATTCAAGACACCGAGCAATTTTACTTTTTGAAATAACTATCCTAAAATTTTTTCTTAAATTCAGATTTTGCAAAGTTACTAGGTCATTAAGTAGACACTGAAAACAACTTTTCATATAAGGACTGTAGATTAATTCTTTATCAAGCATGTATTTTTCAAAAATCTAGGCCAAAGTGAACTAATTGAGATTTAATTCTAAATTTAGATTTCTAGACATAATATTGCAATAAAACCAGTAAAAATACTTTTGTTCAAGTATGTTTACTTCTCCAATTATTTAGTTTGGGAAATATTTACATCCTTGCCCCAAAAGATTACTTACAGTTTGAAAGATTACAGACAAAAACAAAAATTGGTTCAACAATTGTCAAAATGAAATGAATACAACAACTTTCCACTCAATCCAAAAATGAACCACTGCAGCAGGTGAGCTCAGCTCACATAAAACCATTTCTTTTTCCCAGCTTCATAACTGGACTGAACGTTGCTCAAAAACATTACCTATGTTCAAAGTGGAGAGATAAAAAGTGTTGTAAAGATTGCACAATGATTGAAACTGAGACGGATATAATGTATAATCATAACATTTCAGAGCTGGAAGAGATCTTCAGGATCAATCTAATCCAGCATCCACATTTTACAGATCAGGAAAGTGAGGGCCAATCTGAGTCATTTGGTCAAATGACTTGACCAGTCACATTCCTGGGCTGAGCCATTCACTCATTCAGTCAGTCATTTTCCCATTTTCGGAAAGCTGCCTAAGTGCGAGGCTCAGTGGAAGTAAGCTGGAAGCAGCATTCACCATGGTCAAGACAGGCTTCTTTCCTTATCTTAAAATTAATCCTGAAATGCCCTAAAGCAAGAACTCACAGAAGAGTTCCACAGCCTTTGCAGAACAGGGCCCACTTTCGGTTTCACACATTTCAATAAACACAGTTGGGTTTAACTTCAGAGAGGCCTCAATTGTATTTACTTTAAGTGATTAAGCATTAACAAAGGAAAGAAGTACAGTATTCTGAGTGAGTCCCTCTATAGTACATTCATAACTTAAGGAAGTGCAATCAGAAAATGCCCTAACACACAAACAAGTTCAAAGAAAGGACAGGTTATGAAATCAAAGCTCTTTGAGGTATCACTATAGCTCAGTTAAGTCCAATAGCTCAAGTTTACAAAGTGTGGAATGTAAAGATCTCCCCATTTCATTCAAATGTGGGTATATTTTTCTGAGATGTCTATATGTAAAAAAAAAAGACTTCCAAACTCACATTCAAACTAATTCCTCTTCTAATGACACACATATCCAAACCAGGCCTTTCTCCTTAAAATTAACTTTCTTTGATTTCCATTTCATTTTTAAAAAATTAGGAAAAAGAAACAAATCCTAAAAGTTAATGTGTTGGCTAAAGAAATCCAAATTCTATGTATAATCAAAACAGCTTTAGCTCAAACTGCACATTTAAGAGTTTGTAAAAAAAAAGGGGGCGGGGGATGTGCAGTGAACTCACCCATCAACAAAAATCATCTCTTATTTTACTTGGGACTTTTACAGTCTGTAATATCATCGGCACCTAAATGTTTTGTGTATCTCAATTCACAGTCAACTTCTTTAAGGAGAAGAAACCATACTGACAGAGCTCTGAAATAAACAACCTCTAAGTAAGGCACTTTCAAACGCGAAACAGCGCTCTCTGCACATCAGTTTGTGTTCTGTGCCAAGATGAACCACAGGTTATACAGCCCTCTCATAGGTGACCACTGGGTGATTTCTGATAAAATATAATCGCCATGGAGACTCTCTGACTTTCCTGATATACCGTCAGCTCAGGACCAAAGTGCTGCTGTGCTCTTTTAGTTCTCAAACTTCCAGATTTGATTTTTATCCAGAGCATCACAAGTTCTCATCTGCACATCAGGTCGGCCCTCAGGTGTCCGATAAGCACTAAGACAGAGTCCTGAGTGTGGATGAAAAATGGTTCCATCTTCTTTAAAATGCCAAATAATGTTTGCTGGCACAGGGAACCCATCTTTTGGACAATTTTGCATCCCTACGTGATTTTTTTGCTCAGGAACCTCTGCACATAACTCTGTCACAGAATTAAACCTGATTTCTTTGTTTGAAGTGTATTCAAAGAATTGATTGCCCCCTTGACCATGGCATCCAAACAGTGAAAGGTTAGCACCTGTGGGGTTGTTGTCAGGAGCATTATAATCTAAACATTCAGAGGAGATCCCCATACTGCGAACAGCTCCGTGCCAGCCTGGCCTATCCTCTGGAACGTGTAAGTTCGAAAACACGTTTTTCAAATACCAGTCAAAGCTCTTGCACTTCAGCCGTTCTCGTAGTAGCTTTCTTTCAGAAATATCTCCGTAGGCTTCTTTCCTGGCCGGGGGGTTTCGATTGTAGAAGTGCTCCTTGTACTCATCCATCCACACTTCCGCCGCCCGAGCAGTGTTCTGTAGGAAATTGGGCCGCGCATAGGGAGCCCGCTTAGGGAACACGTGGCCCACGTGGGAACACGGGTGGATCTCCAGTTTCCCTCCGCACTGCCACACCCGGAAAGACAGCTCCAGGTTTTCACCTCCCCACACCTCCATCCCAGTGTCATACGTTCCAAGGTACTCAAAATATTTCTTGCTGACAGCAAACAGTCCCCCGGCCATGGTGGGCGACCTGATGGGATCGATTCTCGATTTCCACCTGTCCCGTTCATGTTTGGGGACAGAGTGCCACTGGAACGTCAGACGCCAGTCAAACCCGCCAATCATGGGCTCCCCGGTCTGCATATAGAATTCGAAAGTATTCCAATCAATGGTGTCTATCACGGGACAAACCACGGCCGTTTCGTCCTCGCCGATCCTTTCCAAAAGGGGTTCCAACCAACCCGAGTTACACTCACAGTGGCAGTCCAGGAAGGTGAGCACGTCCCCCGTGGCAAACGTGGCCCCGATCAGGCGGGCCCGCACCAAGCCCTCCCGCTTGTTGGTCCGGATCAGACGGACTCTCTCCAGGTTGCTGATGTACGTTTCGAGCTGCGCCTTCAGGTAGACGCGGTCGCTCAGGTCATCCACCAAGATGATCTCCTTCAGGAGGACCGCGGGGGAGGTCTCCAGCACGCTGTGGATGGTGCGGAGCAGCGTGGACCAGGCCTCGTTGTAGAAGGCGATGATCACGGAGGTGGTGGGCAGCCGCCGGTAGTGGAACGCCTTGGACCTGCACTCGGGCATCCTCTTGTCCTCGATGTGGCGGTGCAGGGAGATCCTGTCGCTGAGGTAGATGTTGATGGCATATCTCTCAATGAGTTCCTCCTGCTGCTTCCGCTCGGCCTCGCTCAGCTGGAGGTGGCTGGCTTTGCCCCACTCCCCCGGGGCCTGGGGGTCTGCGGGCGGCTTCTCGTACAGCGGCCGGGACAGATCTTCTGCCCCGGCCCCGGGGTCCGGGAGCTGCCTCGGCCCCCGCTCCCAGGCCAGGCCCGCTCCCGGGGCGGCAGGGAGCCTGGAGACCGAGAGTTCCACCAGCACGTAGGCCACGGTCAGGAGCGCCAGCAGCAGGCAGCT